TTTTTTTTTAGGGTTGGAGCTAAACTCTGCAGGACATCGGCACTCCAGGACCGACGTTGCCTACCCCTGAACTATATGAAATGATGTAAAGGCCCCATATCTTGAATTTTGTGATGCATTATAATAGACTGAATCATGCCGTGAAAGAACGCACTCTAAATGCGCACTAATCTAACCTAATAGACTTCACGGCATGTATGCGTGCAGTCTCTGTAGGTGTGTTTTGTTTGGATTTGATTTTGCAATATACTCGATAATGTCAAACCGCACATCGTAAACAACAATTACGAAATGTGAAGATTCGGTGGCGAACGCTGTTACCTGCAAACTCCGTCCCACAGGCTTTACAGTGAACGCAGTGCATAGAACCATTTTCATAGCGGAGCCACTAGAAGTCTTTCAACCACTCTCTCCGAAAACTGTACGCCTTCTATTCGGCTGGTGGATCAACATTCACCACATGATCGCCATCACCTGCACCATTATTTGTAACTTTAGGTGGTTCACAAAATAAATCTGTCAGTGTTTCTTTTTTTATTTTCTCTCTTCTTCAGCCCTTTACATTCCCCGCGGTAGTTAGCTCCCTGTCACCTGACAGCGGAAAGCAGTGACTGGGTGATTGACAGCTAATATTAACCAATCTAAAATCTGCATTAAAGTTAAGAATGTAAAGATGAAGTTTAATTGGTTATGAAGCCTAACGTTTCATAGACCGGCAGACAGGTCACCGTATCAACACTCAGAAGGCACATACTCTGAACGTTTTTAGAGAAATTAAAACGGGTCGCACGAAAACAATTATATGCACTCGCACAAATGCTCCCAAATATATTTTGAGGTCGCACAGATTAAATTTCGGGAGCATATGTGACCAAAATGGTCGCAATTTCGAGCCTTGTACGGGTGACGTCACGGACACTACGTCCATGTTTTTATACAGTCTATGGTTGCGTTCAGCACGAATCATCTCATTACAACAAAGTGTAGACTCTATGTAAATAAGAGATTCATTATGCAGTATAGAGAACTTAATTGATTATAACTAGAGGTCGACCTATATGGGTTTTTCTCTGGCCGATGCCGATATTTAGAAATCAGGGCAGCCGATATATGATGCCGATATGTTTGGCCGATTTTCTTTTTTCCCCTTCATCAGTGTACAAGATAGTAATAGTAGTAGTAGTAGTAGCTTAATTCATAGTAATAATACATGGCTCAAAACTTAAGCAACTTCTCAAAACAGTTCTGAAGTATGCTTTTTGTTTATGTTTACTGACAGACACCAGTGTTTCCCACAGACTTGCAAATGCAAATTGATCCTCTGCCAGCAGAGATATAGCGGTTTCCCCGCTAACGGCTGTAATCAAATCAGCGCTGTGCTTACAAACGCTACTTTATCAGGCATTGCAGGAAAGACGAAATGAAAATGACATCAAAGCTTTTCTGAAGACGGTCGGTTCTTTTCAAAGATACATTCATATAAAAACACCCGCGCTGCATTTTAATTTTGAAACGTGCAGTGCTCAGTTTATTCAAGGAAGTAGAAGCCTTTTGGAAAATCTATTTGTGGCGGTCAGTTTTGATATTGTGACGAGCCGCCACATGGACATTGCTATAAGTCAAATGGCCATAATCTAAGTGATAACAAAAATAAAAGAGTTCACTCATCATCGTGGAGGCTATTTTCAGACCCACAGACACATTTCATGAGGAAAGTTAACAAGCACGTTATAGTCAGCCCAGAAGTTTAGTCTGAAATGCACGTGTTTCTACTTTCACATGCAAATGACTTGTTGCACTTATGAATATGATAAGCATGGTCGGCATTCTAGTAGGGTAAAACGTAACTACGCTTTCGAAATGGTCTGTTTTGCCCTGCCATCATTAGCTGAAGCTGTGTGTGAAAAAGCTGCGGCTGCAGAGTGTGAGCTGCTCACGCCGCCAGAGAGAGATTCTCGGTACGGCGTTCCGCAACAACGCTTAGCTGCCCGCAGATGCGCCTGCCTATAAATAGGCCTAATTTGCAGCACAATTGGCCGATTAATAAAAAAATCCCCCAAATCGGCCTGATTAATCGGCCGGCCGATTAATCGGTCGACCTCTAATTATAACGTAATTTTGTGAGATTGCGATGAACTAAGATGAGTGACAGCTTTTAGTGGTTATAAAGGGAACGCTTTTGCGCTATAGCAATGGACGGCACAAATATATTATTTATATAGTATGTATATATGTAGGCATGGGCCGGTATGAGATTTTGATGGTATGATAACCTTAAGCAAAAATATCACGGTATCACGGTATTGTTGTTACAGCTCTAAAATGTGTTATTTTTAAATGACTGGGTAAAAAAAAAAAAAATCGCAGTAAACAAAGCAGAGCTGCGCTGAAACACTGCTTTAATATGAACTATACAGAGACGAGATTAAAAGAAAATCTGACGTAAACCTTTCTGACGACAGTCAGTTCCCCTCAGAAACACATTCATTTAAACCCCCAAATCAATATTGAGGATTTTCTTCGAATAGTTCGTGCATCATGAACAGTGAGTGATCTGCCTACTACAGTATTTTTCTCTGTGCGTCCGTCTTCAACATCTCTGGCCTGTGTTAACGGGCGTTTACAGACTTCATATTTTCACATAAATGACATTTTGGAAAACGATTGCATTGCAACGCAGTTTGTGCAAGTCCAGAACAGAGACGAGTTGCTTGCAATAAGACAAAAAACGGCCGGTTGCCGATCGCGTAAGTTCCAGGGGCAGCTTCTTAAGTTCGGCCATCTTACACACACGTGACTGACCGCTCGCTCGGACCAACAGGAGGAGGAGGGGTCGTGTTACTCTCTACACTGCACTCAACCTGAGAGATTCCTACACTTTGAGTCTTTGAGGAGACATGAAAATCAGTGCATATCGCAGGAACGGTATAACAGAAAATATTAGCGGTTTTGAAACCGTGAAATTTTCAAATCGAGGTATACCTTGAAACCGGTAATCGGCCCATGCCTATATAAGATATACTCTATCTATCTATCTATCTATCTATATAATATATATATATTATATATATTTATTAAGAAGCACCCTCAGAGATTTGATTTTGGAGCCAGGCCTGTGTAGTGGTTTAAATGCATATTTTGGATTATGATCATGTCCACTACGCTTGCAATTGTCTTGTTCCACTAGATGTCACTATTGCGCTTTGCAGAATTAAGTGACATTCTGTTTAAAAAGCTGCTCAAATCCTCATGAACTTCTGTTTTAGGACACGGCCGGTCAGGAGAGGTTCAGAACTCTAACGCCAAGCTACTACAGAGGAGCCCAGGGTGTCATTTTGGGTTAGTGTTTTTGCATAATTGATTGTATTATTTATTACACAGCTCTTTGGAATATTTGATTTGGTCAATCAGAAGTTCTGCAGGCAGATATTTTGTATTATGTATAATGACAGATACATTTTATAATTGTTCCAGACACAGCTACATAGCTGTGCTAGTTTCATGTCTCTCAGATCATTCTGAGGTGTGTCTATTTATTTTATCTCTTTATCATTTAGTAATTAGTCATGTAATATGTAGAATAATGTACAGTTGGCCAAATGATATCACAAGACAAGACTGCATTATATTCATTCTCAAATCCAATCAGATTCTTGTACTAGTTGTTGAATGTAAAATTTTCTCTTCTTTTAGTGTATGATGTTTCAAAGCGGGACACATTCACAAAGCTTGAGAACTGGCTTAATGAGCTGGAGACATACTGTACACGCAACGACCTGGTTAAAATGCTAGTGGGGAACAAAATTGACAAGGTTTGTTTGATTAATGTTATTCTGAATGTAAAGCTGCTTGATACAGTGTTTTGGTGTACAGCTGTGAAGGTTGTTTTAGATTAACAGTCTTGAATGGATAGTTAACCCAAAAATGAACCTCCAAAATGAACATACTCTCTCAACCTCATTAATGGCTTTCTTTTATGGAAGACATTTTTTTTTTTTTTTGAAAACTGTCTCATTAGCTTTCACAGTATGGATAAAAACATTTGAAACATTCTTGATGACAGAATTTTCTCTCCCTTTAAGTAGACCATTTATATATTTTTATTCCTTATTTACTTGTTCTATTTTTTATTATCTGTGTTTTTTGTTCTGTCACTGTCATTCTGTTACACTGTGGAAGCTTCTGTCACGAAAACAAATTCCTCGTGTGTGTAAACATACCTGGCAATAAAGCTCATTCTGATTCTGATCAGAATGATGGATAGTCCTACCCTCAGTGAAGTTGCCTTGGTCCCAAATTTTACTCTGTATATCTAAAATATAAACATTAGCTGTGATGTCACTTTGGTTTAATGCAGACAATTAATTTTACATGTGAATCTTGACATTTTGCGAAGGCGCACACTGAGGTATTACTAAATTTAAAATAAAAGATGTTGGATTTTTTTGTTGTTGAACTAGGCAATTAAGGTCAAATGTTCAGTCTAGAATTTCAAGTCAAGTCTCAGTGGCAGAAAACTTGAATCTTGATGTAATAAATGGCTTCACTTCAGAGGTAAATGAAGTTGATGAGTTTAATGAGTTTTTTTGTTTTTTGTAATATAAAAGCAATAAAACTAAACTCAATTTACAGTTCTTAAAAAAATGTATTTCAAAATGTTCAAAAAAAAAAAAGGGGTAACTTAAAATATTTATTTTCCTGAAGAAAATAAAATGCATTAAGATTTTAAACAGTTCTTCTTAAAAAGATTTTAAAAAGTAATGGAATATGACCTTAAAGACAAGTGTTGAAGTTATGTGTGCTGACATTGGGAGTTTCCTGTAACTCTGCTTTGTCTCGGGGTGACTCAGCATTATAATTAGAAAGACCTCTCTGTTTCAGGACAACCGTGAAGTAGACCGGAATGAAGGCTTGAAGTTTGCACGAAAACACAATATGCTTTTTATTGGTATGTTTCCTCTTTATTATCATTAATTTTGTTTTCAGTTAGATTTGATGATTTGGAAAGTCCTACCTGTATCTTAAAGTCCCCATGAAATCAAAATTAAAGTTTTTTGGGTGTTAGTATCAATATGTTAGTCTTAAGGTTATCTATAAGGCAGTGTGCTAGATTTTTTGACACTAAAGTCTTCTGTGAGCCATCAGAGGATGTGAATGAGCATGATGGTCTGCCTTTGTCCAGACAATCCTGTCTTGCCAGGATTTTCTTTATATTTTCCAGGCTCTTTGAAATAAAGTTAGAGATGTCAGAATGGTTTTCAGTTATAAAAAGTGAATTTGTGTTGAACGTGCTTATATAATGGCAAATACATATGCCTTTGTTCCTGGAGAGATCATGGAACATCAGAACAATGTCTTTTCTGTCATAGCTACTATTCTGTGACTTAATACATATTTATACAACAGTTCGTTCTGGTTTTCAAATCTGATTGTCTGAGAGCCTTTTCCTGCGGTGCGATATTCCAGTGGTTTCAGAACTCTAACCGTTTAACTCCACTTTTTTGTCGGACCTATACTGGCAGCATTTGTCTCAGTGAGCATCAATGGCAGAAGAGCAAACCCACTATAATTTTACAATATTATTACTGTTATTGTGTCACAGAATGTAGTTTTAAGAGATTTTTTAGGTGAGAATGTAGTTGTTTAGACTTCAAATATGCAATTTATATATAAAGATAGCACCTATTTGACAATTTGTTTAGACGTTCAGCACTCATGTACCCCACCGAGAACCGCTTTAATCAGCCAGTCCTTCGAGAATTTGCCGCTGGCTCTTATGTAGATGGTGTTACACAAGATATAATTAATTTTGGTTATATTAAACGGGCAATCTTTGGTCTTATTAATCTATTACTTGTTCCAGAGCAAATTGATTTGGCTTTAGGGAAAAGTTAAGTTTCATATCTTTTTTTTTTTAATGTAATTAAATTCTGTTCGTTCTGGTTTTCAAATCTGATTGTCTGAGAGCCTTTTCCTGCGGTGCGATATTCCAGTGGTTTCAGAACTCTAACCGTTTAACTCCACTTTTTGTCGGACCTATACTGGCAGCATTTGTCTCAGTGAGCATCAATGGCAGAAGAGCAAACCCACTATAATTTTACAATATTATTACTGTTATTGTGTCACAGAATGTAGTTTTAAGAGATTTTTTAGGTGAGAATGTAGTTGTTTAGACTTCAAATATGCAATTTATATATAAAGATAGCACCTATTTGACAATTTGTTTAGACGTTCAGCACTCATGTACCCCACCGAGAACCGCTTTAATCAGCCAGTCCTTCGAGAATTTGCCGCTGGCTCTTATGTAGATGGTGTTACACAAGATATAATTAATTTTGGTTATATTAAACGGGCAATCTTTGGTCTTATTAATCTATTACTTGTTCCAGAGCAAATTGATTTGGCTTTAGGGAAAAGTTAAGTTTCATATCTTTTTTTTTTTAATGTAATTAAATTCTGTACTAACTACAGCGCTGCTACTTTTGACTGAATTGATTGCTTGCGTTTATTGTACAAACTTATTATACTTTTATAATGACTATTGTTGTTCATTTATATATTATTGTTCAATAAACATTTTCTATATCTAATATGCCATATTTGGTATTGAGAAAGGGTCCGTTAGTGATTATGATTTCATCTTCAGAGAAAGTTACATTATTATGAACGTCTTTATGAGTGAGTCGCAAGGACTTTTATTTTGAAAGGGACTGAAACAGGGACGCTATTATTACTTTAAACAGCTTTATAAGCAACCATAGGGATGCAACTGACAAATGCATTGACTAGCGCTGTCGTGAGAAATCCCCTTAACTGTTCAAAGGACAAAGATATCGCTTTCCTATGTATAAGTTCGACCTGAAGAATGAATGCTGGTATCACATGCAGGTAATAGACTCGCTCAGGTGATCTCTCTGTCTCATAATACTCAACATAATACAATGAGCTTCAGTGAAGCAACTCAACGTTCCTTCGTTACTAGTTCTAAAGTGAAGTTTTAGAATCGGTAACGTCACCAAGTAGTAGCTATAGGAAAGGCTTATTGTATGTATAGGCTCCTCCTGTTTGACCAGTATTCTGTCATGTTATTCTCGATTAATGTCTCACAGTGCTATATTACCTGTAGCCTATGTAAACCGTTATTATGCAAAATAAGTCCTTTTGAAGATTACAACCTGAGCATGTTGAAATATGCCAGATATTATGCCCCCCCCAGCAAGATGACAGAGTTGACATGCTTCCTCCTCAATGTGAGCACCGCCTTTGTCCTGATGTGTGTAGGCCAGTAGGATTATAGGAGGGGAGGGGCAGAGAAACAGCAGGATCTGATCAGTATGATGATCTCATTCAATATGAATGTCATCAAATGTCCTTTGTACCTGTACTACATTTCATGTGCTTAACATATTCTCTGCTGCTCTCATTTTAATCTCCTGCTTTTTATTTAAATTAGTTAATCGTATAAAATTATTCCCATTTTATTTTTATAGTATTTGGCCTTACAAATATGGTTTTGCATGATTCTACCTTGAAGAGTTTGAAATATGATATATTATTTTGTAAATAATGTCTTCAGTAGGTGTTCTGAATCATAATTCACACAGTTGTCTACAAAATGCTGTTTAGCTGCAGCTCTCATGAGTTGAGATAGATTAAGCATGTTTAAATAATGTAATTTATGATGACTTTTGTCTGAATTAACATGAGATGATACATTTAACTTCACTGAGTTTTAATCTTTCACTCATTTTTTTGTTTTCTTTTCTAGTTAAATGATGAATGGATACCAAAAAACTTTTTCCCATTTTTGTTTTTAATTACAAAGCTTTCTTGGGACTTGATATTGATTCTTTTCACGTATCAACTTGAAAAAGGGAAGATTTGGTCATGCCTTAATATTTATTAGATCCGCATATTTAACATGATCTCCATTACAGGCTTTCACTGTGAATCTGGAGAGAGTGTGTGTTATTGCAGCCAAACAAAATGACCAATGGTACATGGGTTAAGTGGTCATTTAATTGAATTATTAACATGTCTTGGTCATAAAGTTTGAGTATTCATATGTTTGACTTTTTATTCCCTTAATAGATGTGTTTGTCCTGGTGCAGAGAGATTTATTCAGTCAGAGAAATAATTGCTTATGACTTCATGTAGCCGCAAAACCAGACACTAACCAGCACCCTAATTAGGATTCCTTACAATTTATGGGTGTTAAATTCACATACTCAGTTTTGTAGATGCTTGCTTTCATTTAGGCTGTTGTCCTTCAGCAGCGATGTTCTAGTCTGTATGCCCGTTTTCTGCTATGGAGTGGAAAATTAGGAGAAATTATATATCTTATATTCTTTTTGCATTCAAATATCTAACTTGTAGAAGTGTTTGATCTGCCACAGCATAGTGTCTTTTGTTAAAGTCTATGTGAATGTCTGTTCAAAATTATATCTTAATTATTAGTATGTCATTTCTAGTAAATGAACTCCAGATGGGCATATAGATGTTTTGAAATTGATACCTACAGCTCTGTATTAGTTTTAACAGGCCATATACTGTGAAACATTTCTATACTGTACACTACATACATGAATATTAATCACAACAAATGTCATGAGTTTTCAAACTGATACGCACCTCATATCCTCATGGCACCTCATATCACATTGAAATTGTAGGTCTAATAGACATCATTCTCTCCTTTCATTGAAACATTAGCTCTGATTAACTCAACTAAAAACAAAGTCTTAAACATAAAAGCAGTATGCAGTGCTGCTGTTGCTTTAAATGTATTTATGCCAGCATGATTGTGAGTGTGATTAATGCTTTTATGCAACAGTGCAATGAAGTTAAGCTTGAGTGAGAAATTTTAGACACAATATTGCCAGTTACTAAGCTGACATATATGTCAGAAGAGCTTTTTTAGCCAAATATTCAGCCTTCCCCACTTACTAGTTTGTAAGGCATAAGGTATAAATAAACATACATTCATAAGAATTTTTGATTCAAGCGCTTACATGCTTAATTTCTTTCCTGTTGGTTGGACTATTTCAGATCTTCACCACACCTTCCAATCCACTCGAAATTATATTCGGCTTGAGCTCAGTTGGATCATTCGAGCCAAGACGTCAACAACCTGACGAGTCGCACAGGTCACTGATAAGTCAGCCATCTTTACTGCTGGCTAAACGGCAGCTCTGACTTAAAGGGGTCATATGATGTTGCTAAAAAGAACATTATGTAGTGTATTTGGTGTAATGAAATGTGTTTATGCGGTTTAAGGTTAAAAAAATGGCGACCCACAGCGCGAATTTCCTCAGCGACCAGCGCGGATCAGCTCTAGGCATGACGAAGCGGATATCGTCCTCTTTTGGAAGACCAAACAAAAGTAGTTTTGCTTTCACAATGAAACACACAGCGTCTTCAAGACATGGCGGCGGCGGCAACAACAATACTACAGTGAGAATAAAAGTTATGCCTTCTTTCTTTGCGTGAACATTTGGGCGGCGTTATGCAAATCTTCCCACATTGTGACGTAGACATGTGGGGGCGTGTTAGAACGAGCCGTTTTAGGTAGGCGTGGTTGACTCAACTTTTATAAAGAATATCTCTTTGGATTTGAGACTTTAGTCTTTGCAACTTTACAGATTTTCTTTATGCACCAAGAGCTTGTAACACTCCACAGAGAAAGGAAAAATTTAAATCGCATCATATGACCCCTTTAATGCATTAACCTGCTGGATAGAACTCTTCCTCTCCACCAAGTGCCAGCATGTCGCATCCTGATCAACATATCTGACTTGTGATGCAGCCTGGAATCAATAGGCTAGACTCATTTGGCCAGAGGAGAACTGGTTGAATTTGTGGAATTAAACTAACTGTTGTATAAGATAACTTGACAGTAGGTTTTTCTTTTTAAGCTGTTTTCTTATCCGCTAGCCATATTTTGTACAGAACAACTCTTTGGAGGGTGTGAAATA